GTTCATCTGCAGCAGCATTATTTAAGGTCGTCCAATTATGACAAATAGAACATAAAAACCACCCGGAGTCGGTAAGGTGCAGTTTTAAGGATAAAAGACCATAATTGAGTAAAACATGATTGAATGGAGTGAAATATGGAGAACCCCTAGCTGCATTCTTTGTGAGACGTCTAAAAGAGCACTTATCTTTATCGAAATATGCGGTTGTTTGTTACCCCGACTCACTGGTAACCTAAGGTAGCCTATTATTAACTTCCTATACGAATAAAAGTCACAGCCGTATGTCACCGATGTGAAAAAGCTCAAACAGTCAAACTCCACTGGATGGAAGGTTTCCCGTGAACATTTTTGTGAAGGAGATTACTCAACTCGGCCAAAACCATCCCCAGCACCAGCACCAGCACCAGCACCAGCACCAGCACCAGCACCGCCAGCAGCAGCAGCAGCAGCAGCAGCAGCAGCAGCAGCAGTAGCAGCAGCAGCAGCAGCAGCAGCAGCAGCAGCACCACCACCACCACCACCACCACCACCATCATGACCTTAAACACTTGGTCTCTTAGCTTGTAGCAAAAGCAGTTTGTGATAACACAAAAATATGTTTGGCGTGTACGCATGTGACGTTATGCAGATCCTGCTAGAGTAGAATTGATAGAGTTGTTCTGGTTGATTTCTTTATTTCCAAGCACCTCGAGACTTGTGATACCTTTATTGACAGGATAACACGTGATCAAGGACACTGTCCGCATCGAGAAATCGTGAAAGCCCTGTCGAATCCTCGAAATCACTCCAAATATCAACTCGTACTTGTGCGTACTTCCACATATAGAAACAGTGTGATTTTTCATACCTTGCTCGGTGATTGGCTAATCTTAAGACAATTATAACATACCTCAGGGTAAAGATCTCACATTAATTTTGTCTCTCATTTACTGAGGTATAGAATTTCTTTATCTTTTTTGGTGTTCGCATTTGGTTTTATATATCCACTGTAAAATCGTAAATTACTGAAAGTTTATTCTTTGGGTGCATAAAACGTTTCTTGACTTGACTGGTTCGACTTGTCCACATGATCCACCGTACATGACAATTCAAAATCGTTCTGTTTCCTGCTTCATATTACAATAAAAAAGATGATGATCACGGGCGTTTGGTGACATTTGAATATATGATCGAATGCTCACTGGTGCGATTTGATGTACTGTGTGTGGATCGATGACACTCAAAGAATCGTACGTATCAACAAAATAATTCTGCGTTTTCATTTGGGGAATCCACGGAAAGTACCAGAGCCAAACCCTGCCTTGGAAATGATGGAAAACGATGCGGTCGGCAAGTGCATCCATTATCCAACAGTGACTAACCCAACAATAATCAATTTTATCTATAATTAGATGCAGAGAAAGTGAATGCGGCCGTGAAGTTCAGTTGGCTGTATGACCAGAGTCTGAGACGTGTTGGGGATACAGATAATGTGGTTAGTTCGGACTGTCCAAATGCCGGTCTGGCCACAGTGCACCAAATTTACCTAATAGATACTTACCGGCAAAATGTGACTTAAGTTGGCGTCTTTTGGTGAATTAAATGATCAAACTAATTACTGGACACAGTATTCCATTGAAATTTATTCCTACTCATTAAGAAAGCTCTCACTTTCGGGGTGCGATGCAGACCATAAACATTCATTTTGAGCTTCTCCCTGACTCACACTTTATTCGTGAGTCTTCAGTGACATTTTGTTGCTGAAAACGGCAATACGGCTTCATAAATCAGCATCTGGGTTGATAAGCGTAGATGTTTATAGTCACGGTGACAAAGTTAATTCTTAACGAATAGGCTTCATATTTGTTGTGTCTTCTTGAGGCGATATATGTATGTGAATAGTATTGTTCGCGCAGTCGATAAAATCACGTAAATTAATTTGTGAGAAAAGGAACAGTCGCAGCCGTTGGATTAACAATTAAAGGTTGTTTTAGGCAGTTACTATTGGCATAACGCCATAAAAGAGCGGTCTTTTCAAAGTGAATTGATGGGGCTTAACGTAGAGTCCTCCTCAAATAGAATTGGTAAACACAGATATAATAATACTGTGGTGCAGTTCAACCGTATAGAAACTAGCGTTCAGTGGGAACATCAGATAATTGTGGCAATTAAACAATATTTGAAAATTTTAACTAATGTAAACATTGATATAAAGTGGAACTTACTGTATGATGGCGACAAAGATCATCGGACAACTGTTTCATTTTCGTCCTATTCTGTCGCCGACGGGCGACGTAAAAATCGAACAGGTTCATCCGAACAAAACAATCCAGTCAGTATTTATTTTCGTCGGTTTGATATACTACCATGAATGAGACGAATTACTCTTGTGTTGCGGTCGGTATGTGGTAAACTTGGGCTAGGAAACAAAAATCTGTTGTGGTGGTGACCGTCTACAAGTAAAGTACAAACGTAACACTCCAGTGAGTGGGCTAAATTTTGTCCAAAGGATCACAATATACTTTCAAGCTAGAAAGAATCCTGTTCCATATGTACTTCACCAGAAAAGTGATTCCAACTGGGGTTTGGCATGGTGCCATAAAAATAACATTGTTGCCAGTCGGGTGAGAGTCGGTAGCTGAAGTATTGCGTTTATTCGTCCGGGAACTTGATGAATTTTCACTGAACGGTACATTTTGGGCAGTCAAATGTTAGAATTACTTAGCTTCGGAATTTACAGGCTGTCTGTATACATACCTGTGTGTGTGTGAGGGATAAGTTTCAAAGTCTTTTTGGCATAATTTTCTTCTATCGTGTTCGTTCAAACACCGTCATTTTACACTAAGTGCGATATCAGCACTGTGCCACGATAACCTATTCCTTGGAAATCATTCTAATTCGGCACTCCCGTACAACACTGCATATGTTGACTATGCGTCATCGAAAGCTCCTAACGGATTTCGACTGCCTGAAAATCGTGTTAGCGGTGATCACACGAACCGGGAGGTCAAGCGTTCTGATCCCATTGCTGCCACCTGAATTCTCGTCCCTAGGAATCAGCGAGACGGCTACAGCTCACAGCCTTACTTCAAAACTTGTATGCGATTGCCTAACAGGCAAAATGAGTGGGAAAATCATTTCATTACAGTTTAGCTATTAGTTTGTCTACCCTGACGAGATCACTTGCCCTTAGTGTACAGTTATCAGCCTGACGAAAATCCCAATGAGCTCAACTAAAAGATTGCTTCAACCTAGACCGGAAAGCACGAAAGTAGTGCATATGGTTTTGAGTGCGTGTTTGGATAGCCGACTATCATCAGTGACTGTATAGGCTAACATGAAGCGTCTGACCTGTGGGCGAAGCAACCAAACGCGAAGGCAACAAAGTTTACGAGGACGTACGCGCTTAAGCGTGCAATCTGTCTACATGTAACTGTATTAAAGACAGTAAAAAAATCAGATTGTAAATCTGTTTTGCATAAGGATAGCCGTGGTAATCGAGACGTCGATCTACTTAAAGAAGGAAAGCAACCGTTTGTAGGTATTTCCCATAACAACTTTGATCTTGACATGACATTTCCCCATTGCGAATTCCCAGTTCTGATCTACTCCAAATCAAAACCGGAGCACTGAAGACAGGTCAACATGCACAACTGATACAGTGATGCAGTCTGAGATTAACTATCAGTCATGGGAGCAATTGGTTCAGTTAAGCAACCGTCGACAAGTGTCCGATTTGCTTCGTGCAACCTGTTTCATCTCATTCCGCTCTAAGTAACAATTTTTACCCACGATGAACAGTCTCGTATTGTGCCGTGTTTGTACAAATTGTGTTTATTCACTGACCAGCTGACGGGCTGAGTTCGATGATATCGCACAGTTGATATTTTTATTTTGAAAATCCAATTCGTTCGTAACATCTGATCCCAATTGGAGGAGGATCGGATTGAGTTGCGCAACGTGTGGTGTTTGAATTAAGCTCACGAGAATGCATTGAGTTTTATCGTGTATAGGCAAAATAAAAAAGAACGGTCTGATCAGCTGCACAGTGGCCAAGAGGTTAGCTTGTTTTCTTTCTTCATCTGAAGTCCAGGGTTAGATTCCCAGTTGGGTCGATTGGTACGTACTGTTGTTGTTGAAACCCAATCAGGCCGAAACAACTGTTCGATGCTTCCTAGCTTTTCAGTTTACGCATTATTTGTTCGGCACACGAATAAATTCATCATGTGATTCAGATTCTTCCTGGACAAAAAAAGATCTACCCACAAGAATAGCACCGTGCTCACTATTGCACGCATTTCAGCCAACCATGCACTCATTTTCGATAAACTTGAAGATTGTTTATCAAAACAACCCCCCGGCACTTTGTGTTACCTATTCTTTTATCATTTTACTGCCTAAGTTGTATATCCACAGTCTTTTCCAATTCATAAATAAATATTTGGAATATCAAATTTCTAGGAAGCATAATATGTACTCAAATTGGGGATGCCGTTCGATCGTACGCTTTCCCCTTCCTGAAACTAGTTTCATTCTATAATCAACAAAAACAGGTTATGTAGAAAAAGAAGAACTGTTAATAAATCATTCAAATGCGATGGAAATGTTTGTTATGATCAACGAAGAGCACCGGACAGCAGTTTCGTCCTGTTTGGGACTCATCAACAGTGCGTAGGTTTTGTGTTCCTGTCAGGACTCGAACCGCGATTCTTCGGGCTGGGACTTCAAACCCTTACCTATGAGCTACACGGTCGACGGTTATCACGTTGTACGAATGGCAAGCTTGAATGAGCTCATTCGATTGTTAAGAGGCACCAGGCACTCGTATGGTTATGACCAATGGAGGATTGTTTATCAAAACAACCCCGAGCACTTTGTGTTACCCATTCTTTTATTATTTTACTACCTATGTTGTATAAACAAGGTCTTTTTCGATTCACTCTACGCCGTGCATAAAACTTATTTTGGATTGACTTGGTGATTCACCAAACAAAAATGAACATTGTACAATCAACGGATAGTCCCATTGGTTGATGAACTTTTTATACAAATTATTTTCACTGTTCGCTCATATATTTCCATTTTATTGTTTGGAATTTCTGTCCAAAAGTATTAACGCGATAACATCGTGTGATGGGTGAATGGAACAATTTCCCAATTCGCCTCCAACAATTGTCTGTGATCGCAAGTTTAATTGTTTCTGCTTATTAGTTAGGCTCGATCGGCCTTTGGAAAGTTTGCATCCTTGTTTCCTGTAATGAATTCCCGGCAACTTGTTGACTATTTCCGGGCCGGTCACATTTAAGTGGGGGCATAAAAAGATACACCGCTGCACGAACTTCTCATTTCATCCTTTTCCGATCCGAAATCCCAGTAGAGACATATCAGCTCAATCAGGTTTCGGAAGCCGATTTGGTCTGGGTTTTTTAAACTGTAATCTGATCAGATTTTATGCTTGGGACTGAAATTTCAACCCACCATTCGTTTTTTTCAAAAGCAATTCATTGCCCCAGTACGTACACTAACAGGGACAATATTTCGTTCACGTTGATAGATGAAC